TCATGAAAATATTTTTTACAGAATTTATAAATTATTTTTAAGATTCAATCTTCCAGACAACTAACATTTCAGTCGTCCAGACGACTGAAAAGTAACTCAGCCCAACTCAGACAACTTACTAGGGTTATATTCGTAAAAATGTCTTCTGTTTTTTTGTTTGGTCACAGAGGACTATATTGTAATTTCATAGCCCTTTTAGATTAGATTTGCATTTGATTCAAGTTGGGGTCTAGTATTGGGGTTAAAACCAAGTTGTGGGTTAGTTTTGGCAAAAACCCCTTTTTTAAAAGCTCATGGGCTGTAATATATACTACTAAGATCTATTGGTTGCACATGTTGGTTCTGATAGCGAAGCTATGCATGAATACTGCTGATTTCATTAAAGTATCTTGAAGGCTCATGGACATATACAATTCTAAAATTTATTGGCTGCACATGTGGTTCTGATATGATCTCATCAAGTCCAAGTAGTTGATATATTTTTACCTTTACTTGATACAGTTAAAGATGATGTGTTTATATATATAATTATATATGTAAATATCTTAATTATACATAACACATTTATCAAAATCGCGAGAGCTGATATAGGCCCCTACATGTAAGAGGAATTCATAGAGGGAAGATAACATCTACGGTCTTTGGGCTCTTATTAAACTTTTTTTTCATTAACTGCCTGCTCTTAAACTAATGCAGTGTGAAATTATGATTCTTGTGAAAACTTGAAAACAAAGGGACCGCTTTGCTTAGTTGACAAGAAACTGGCGAGAAAGAAGCTTCTAATCCAAGCAAACCTGAGAAGTACTCTTGAAGTTGAAGTACTAATAGTTGATAATACTAACTCTAGACTTAGCCTAACACAACAAACAACACACTTTTTACTTTTTTAATTTTATTTTTTTAACACACAAAGTTTTTAACTAACTAAGTCAACAGTAGGTTCTAACAACTTCTTTGACTTGTTGCTTTTCTTTATTTCCCATTTATCATATGCAAGATTTAATCAAAGATGATATTTCTACATATAGTGAATAGTGATAATGGTTTGTTGAAGGTTTATAACTATTGGGTGAGGCTTAAACACGTGTCTCTTGCTTAGGCATGCAGCGTGGTCTCTTTACCACACCACTGTCCAGAAGCATATTAAAGAACTTTGGCTTTCCGTCTTTGTCGTCTTTAAATATGTGATAATAGTTTGACGTTGTACCGAATGTTCTGTTCTTATGTCCCTTTCTCCAAGTTGGAAAACACAATAGAAGAGAATCTTATCGTGTAATAACTACATACATAGAACACAGTGAGAGGTTATGCATTATTAGTCACACAAAGAAGCGGTGAAAGAAGAGCAAAATGGTTTCTTCTTCCGATGTAAAGATTATCTCAGAATGCTTCGTTAAACCCAAAACCTTGCCTGAAAAATGGAAAGAGCCATACCATTTTTCTCCAATGGATCATTTCATGCTCTCTTTGCAGTACATCCAAAAGGGTCTTCTCTTTCTCAAACCATCAACACCATCTGAAGAATCTGATGATGCAATCAAACAAAAAGTCTTCATGGAGACTTTGCTGCAAAAGCTTAAAGACTCTCTAGCCACAACACTTGTCCCTTTCTATCCTCTAGCTGGTCGCCTCTCCACTTTGAAAACCGATGATGGAAGTTCCTATTCTGTTTTTGTGGACTGTAACAACAGTCCTGGAGCTGGATTTATCCATGCCAAATCTGATCTAAGTGTTGGAGATATTATTGGCTCTAAATACGTTCCTTTGGTTGTTCAATCTTTCTTTGACCATCACAAAGCAATGAGCCAGGATGGTCACACACTGAGTCTCGTATCAATAAAGGTACATTAATTATTGCTTGTGTTTGAATAGTCCTGGGCATTCGGGTTGGTTCGGTTTATTCGGTTTTCGGGTTATTCGGGTTGGAATGTTTAGGAACCGGTCATTTTTCAGATCGGTTCGGTTCGGATAATGTCGGGTTCGGTCGGGTTTCTATTTTTTCATAAAACCCGAAGTGGAACCTCACAAATAATTTGGGTTTAGTTCGGGTTTGATGCCCAATAAACCGCAAAAATCCCAAAAAAACTAGATAAACCCGAAAAATATTAATATTCGGTTTCTTCGGGTAGTTTGGATTTTTAGATATTTTTATTTATAAATTATATTTTATATATATTAAAATTAAAATTAATTAATATTTTTAATATATTCAAAATATTCGGGTACATGTTTGGTTCTCGGTTCGATTTTCGTTTTTTAGATTTAAAAATATACAAACCGTTCGGATTTTTGTAATTTCCAAACCGGTTTCGGTCTCAATTTTTTTCCATTCGGTTTTCGGATTTCGGATAATATGCCCAGAACTAGTTTCGAATATGTCAACATATTATAATGATAGAAGGCTGATGTGTTTGTTTGAGATGTGTAGGTAACAGAACTTATAGATGGGGTGTTCATAGGACTGTCTATGAATCATTCCCTTGCAGATGGGAGTTCCTTCTGGCAGTTCTTTAACTCTTTGTCTGATATCTTCAGTTCACAAGAAGAAACCACTAGTAACAAACTACTTTGTCTCAAGAATCCTCCAATCTTTCGTGAAGGGTCTGGTTCTATTTGTAGCCTTCCCTTCACTCAGCCTGATGAGTCTATTAGTCAAACCGAACCTCCAGTTTTGAAGGAGAGAATGTTCCACTTCTCATCTGAAATACTGAGATCATTGAAAGCCAAGGCGAATCAAGAGTGTGGAACAACAACTATCTCGTCTTTTCAGTCACTATCCGCATTCATGTGGAGAAGCATTACGAGAGCAAGAAGATTACCACATGATCAAGAAACTACTTGCAGGCTTTCTGCAGGCAATAGATCAAGAATGGACCCACCATTGCCATTGAATTACTTTGGTGTGTACGTCTCTCTTGTGCAAACGACTACTAAAGTAGGTAACCTCTTAGAGAATGAGTTTGGACGGGCTGCTTTACAGCTACATCAAGCTGTAACCGAACACACTGACAAGAAAATCTCTTCAGAGATGGATCGATGGTTGAAGTCTCCTAATACGCCATCTTTGGATACAAATGTAGTTCATATGGGAAGCTCACCATGGTTTAACAAGTATGGAAGTGAATTTGGGATGGGGAAAGCTGTTGCGGTTAGAAGTGGTTATGGGAATAAGTATGATGGGAAGGTATCAGCTTATCCAGGAAGAGAAGGTGGAGGAAGCATAGATTTGGAAGTGTGTCTTCTTCCAGAGTTTATGGAAGCTTTAGAATCAGATCAAGAGTTCATGTCCCTTGTCTCTTCTTCTTGATCCTGTCTGATCTTTGTTGGTCATTAGATTATGATGAACTTTATTGTGGTTTGCAGACAAATGTTTCAACTACTGCAGTTGTTTTAAAACTGAAAAGAGAACACACACTTTAAGTCACGCTTAACACAGTTTTCTCTCAGTAAAAAAGGGCAATAATCACTTTGCCATGTTATATGTATAATTATAAACACACATACACATACAAAGATACATACACACATACACGCCATCATGCGTATGTGTTCATAAGAATTTTCAAGAGTCCGGATAACAGAGATTCTAGCGAGAGAGTTGTACAACAATGTTTCTTACACAAAACGTTGATCCTCATTCACCAATCCGACCTTCAAAAAAAGAAAAAGAAATCTTTATGATCAGTGAAGTATAAATTGAGATTAACAATGCTAAATCTATCTTCTGTATTCTGAATCAACTTACAAAATAAGGAGATGTAGGAAGACAGTAGTATTCATTTATCAACCCCTACATCGAGTCCTTTAGAGCTGATCATCACATTAGAATCGATTTGCTTATCAAATTTCTTCTTTCTCCTTTCTTCAAATTCTTGGTATCCTTCCATCTATATATTTACACCAATGTTAGGTTACACACAATACAATTACACGCATGTTCTTTGAGGTTGCAGAATAAACTACTTACCAGCTGAAACTCATCCATGGAAATGGGATTGTTATGCAGAGAAAGATTTTGCAGACTCTTGCAATCTTTCAGCAATCCATCTGGAATCTGGAAAAAAAACCGGTAAATGTTAGAGACTACACAGGAATAAGATAGAAATGATTCAGTAAATCCTATAAGGTTTACAGGGTGAAGAAACAAATCACATGTCAATTGCACTACCTGCTTCACTTGATTGTTGTCTAAACAAAGCGACTTTAACTGAAGCAGATTGCAGAGTGATGCAGGGAGCTCTTCAATGACGTTATCTGCAAGGCTATCCCAAATCATGATTAGGCTTTCGAGAAGATACAACCACAACAGCAAATAGATTCAATGATTTTTTTTTTTTTTTAATGTTTCTGAATCCACAAACGAGAAAAGAGGATGATTTAAAGGAAACAGAATGTTATTAAAAGAATCTACATACATACCATTAGCCTGTATTTCTTCTAAAGAGGCACAGCTCCCTACTGATTCTGGAAGGGATTTCAATCTGTTGTTTGAGACATTCAGCAGCACTAGCTGCATTTGATAAGAGAAAGCCAAACATTGTAACTAGTTTTTTCCAAGCAGGTCCTTGAGCTATGCTTTGAAAGGGTAAAAGAAGTTAACATACATTGCGCAGACTACCGATAGTATCAGGCAAGTATATCAGCATATTTCTTGATATTGATAGCTGTTCAAGCCTTATCAACTGACCCACTGGGAAAATAATAACCACAATAAAGATTAGTTGTAAGACAGAAACTTGTAATAAAGAGAGAGCTCGAGCTCTTCTTACATTCATCAGGCAAACAGCTGATACGGTTCCCATCAAGCATCAAAACTTTGAGAGACTGAAGCTTCCCAAGATTCCCGGGAAGGCGCTCAATTAGATTATCAGCTATTAACTGCCAAAAATTCAGCATTTTTATTTGAATAAACAGAAGTTTCAGTAGATCAGGAAACTATACAGAGTCAAAAGTAGTCTCACCAGACGCTGCATATTGATTAACTTGCTGATTTCTGCAGGAACATCAGCTGCATTAAATAACAAATCCCTTCAACAACAACCCTAAACACACAATCATAAGACAAGACTTTGATGAAGAAGGCGATCAAAACACATACAGATCTTGTTGTGTGTTAGATCCAGTGTTCGTACTGCTCTCTCCATTTCAATAACTTCATCAGGAAATGTCTGCAAAACAAAAAACAAATCACAAACAATACATAATAAGCTAATCCTGTCTAAAATCCCCAAACATAAACCCTAAAAACAAATCCTTATGCTGCATTAACCAAAGTTTGTGACTTTGCATCTAACCAAACTCTCTCAATCATTTCAAATGAATACAAAGACAGATGCCAAAACAATTTATCAATCAAATTCAATAGATTCTCCAAGACATAATCAGCTAAATCCTGTCTAAAATCCCCAAACATAAACCCTAATAATAACAATAAATTTTATTTTATGCTGAATTTCATTACCAAACCAATCAAAGGTTGTGACTTTTAATCTTAATCAAAACTCTATCAATCAATTCCATAGATTCTTTCGACGATTGATACCTTCAATTTGGAGTCGCGCAGCCCGATAATACCGGTGGATCGCCACCGGGCGACCCGACTAGCTTTTGAACCTCCTCCTGCTGTATTGCTCGCGCAACACCCCATCTTCGTGCTTCCGATTCTTCGCTGCTGATTCTAACGTACTTGATTTGATTTGATTTGATTTGATTTGATTTGATTTGATTTGATTTGCTTTGATTTGATGATTATAAAAGAAAAGAAAAAACTGATATTGTAATGGAAAGAAAAAATCTCCAAACCCAGAAAGTTTCAAAGGAATTGGATTTTGCTCAAAAGAGATATAGATTGGGTTAAAATTCTACGATTTTTTTTTTATCGAGGTTTTAGGTGAAGGTCAAAGTCTCTCGCGGGTTAATTATTAAAAAGAAGCCAAGTTGGGGACCCAAATATAAATATAAATTGGAGAAGTAGTTAGTTGTTCGAGAAGGAAAAGGGAAAATGAAACTTATGTTATTCACCCACTTCGTTGAATTTGTTACACTTTAGACCTCTTAGTATAGAGAGGCTTACGAGATAACCAGTGTAGTTATCATGGTTTGTATTAAACCGAATTGGGCGTTTCGGTTTAAGTTCTAATTCGATTTGGGTTTGAGTTTGGGTCAGTTTGTTTGGATGTAAGAAAACTTCAACTGAAGTCAATCAAAAATAGTTTGGTGTGGTTCATTTCAATTTGATTTGTGTTGATTCAATTTAATCGGTTATGGTTGTGTTTGTTGAGTTCAAACGTGTTAGTTTTTAATTTTATTATTGTTCGGATATGAATATAATTTAGAAAAACTATATGTAAAACCAATCATCACAATAAAAATAGAAAACACGTAATCCAATGATATCATTACTTTCATACTTAATATAATATCATAATTAAAATTTCGAAGTACAAGATTTATGTTTATTTTATTTTATTATTAATTAAATTTTCTATTATTTAAATGCAAAAGGAAAATGTATAAACTTATGATTAGTTGTCATATAAACTTATGTTACCAATGGTTCGTTCCCCACATGCCAAAATGAGGATCATAAATCCTACACTAAACATTTGATAGTAATTGTGTAATAAAAGTGATTAAGGAAAAAATATCATGAGCTATAGTATCCTTAGAACACAAATTACACAATAGACTATATTTCTACGTGATTGTCGAATATCATAGATATTTTAGGAGAAAGAAGGATCGTAACTAGACTAAAAGTCGAATTGCCAACGTACCCATTAAGAGATCAAGTTCATTTATCATCATCTCGAAAGAGATGTCCGTTTTATCTGTCTCGAGCATGATATCGGCTTGGCTGTCTTGGGAAGTGGACATCGGCTTCGTAGTCTCAAGCGAGACGTTGGCTTTTGCGGGTCTTGGATTGTTTTTGAATAGATAGTGAGTCTTTAAGAACTAGGACCGGTTACATACGATCTCGTTAGATCAGACATTATATGAAAAGCTGTCGTCCTTTATCAATCATGGATGCGTATCGTCGTGACGTAAGGATAACGTCTCTATAACTCGTCCTCTCGTTGAGGGAGAGGTGTTTTGAGAGGAAGAACTTTGGTCTAAATACATGGTTGTAACTGATTCGTAAAGCAATCAGCATCACGTTGTTGATTCTGTTTCGTTGTTGGTCCCGCTTATGTTTGAGAAGTGGCATAATAATCAAGAAAGCATACCTCATCTTCCTTATCTTTATAAGTACAAGAATATAATTGTGTTTGTTGAGCTCTCAACTTCTCTTTTATTTAAGTTCCAGAGAGTGACAGTGGCGAATCTAGAAAATATTTTAAGTGGGGACATAAATTGTTTTTATATATGTTTATATGAATGTGTTATATCTTTTAATAAAGATAACATATACAAGAAAATAATAATTAAATAATACAGTTAAAAAAATTAACTAAAAAGGAAGAAAAAGAATAAACACATTAACAGAAAAAACAGTTTACCAAAAAAAAAAAGATTTTATGGAACAAAACATAAGGTAAAAATGAAATATTAACACATAGAAAAAGGAAACTGAAAAAAATAGAAATAAAAAATATAAAAAGAGTGAATCAGAAGGGACAAGAAAATATTCGAAACTGGATTTAGTGGGGGCAAATAGTGGGTTTCAGCCAACTTAGATGCAGATTTACTTATAATCAAATGCAAATAAATCTAATTCTAATTTTTTGTGGGCAGCTGCTCCCTTCCTAAGCTTAGTAGATTCGCCCCACAAGAGCAATATCTTTATCTTTTGTAAGAGTTGAAGTTGTTGCACGTGTTCCATTATTTTAACTTTGACTTCTTCTCATATTTGAAGGAGGTCGAGATTCTAGGAAGTCGACAACTAACATATTTGACCCAATCTAGGATGGATAATTAACGGCCATTAATAGTGGAAGAGATTTGTTACAAATCTGGATCCAACCGATAAGATGGGTTATATATTTTAATTTGTAGTGCTATTACTATATTTAATTAATTTAATTAAAATTAAACATTTTAGTCTTTCAATTTAGTTTTACTAGGTGACCGGTCCGCACCCTGTGCGGGCATAAGTATGTTCAAAACATTATTATAATAGTGTATCGGTTTAGAAGAAACGAACTGTACATCATCATACTACCATGTTTTGGAGAAACCCTACACCATGGAGAAAAGCCGGTATTCAATATTTGTCATTGTATGAGAGGGTATAAAATAACGCACATGGTGCGAACAGTTATTGTGTGTATGTATAATTGTAAAGTCTCAAAATAATTAGTGTGTTTTACAAAAATATTTTCATTCGTCATCTAATGGATTTGCTAAGACTTCTTATAAATAGTGTACAGTTTTAGAAGTAACAAATTTTATATTATCCTTTGTAATTATAATTGTATTGTATATATGTTGTAATTTTAATTATTAGGTGAATAATAGTATTATGTTAATTTTTCATAATTATTTCTGTACACATATTGAAAGAAAATATAATAAATTTCAAACTAAGCTCCCAAAATAAAATTAAAATTATTATCCATAAATAATATAAATTTATGAAGTACAAAATCTCGATAAAGGTGTAGCAAATCCATTAGACACCTGCAAAAAAATATTTTAGTTTGTAAGCCCTAAGACCGGATAACATTCTGTGATAGATATAAAATAATTTCTGAATTTTATTGTATCTGTAAATAATATTAATTTCCATACCGTCATAGAAATAGGCAGAATGATGGATGGTAATCAAATAAAATCTCTCTGGTACCTCATCAGTACCCATCTTCCAATACCTTGTCAAAAAATAATTGTAAAAGTTTATATATCAAAAAGAAAATTATTTGAAAAAGTATATTAAAATCACGTACCCTGACTACGGAATATTCTGGATAACTTGTTTGTAGACAACATTCAATGTTTTGGTCTGCTGCTTCGATTCTTTACCAGTTATTAGGATTTTTAATCCTGATCTCGACTTAACTCTTGAAAGTGCAACGTAGAGCTGACCATGAGAGGATACTGACCTAGGCAGGAACAAACCAACGCTTTCCAGTGTTTGACCTTGACTTTTGTTGATGGTCCTCTCGAATGCCAATGTAACAGGAAACTGTCTTCGACGCATTCTGAAGGGAAACTTTGTGTCAGGTGGTGTGACAAACATTCTAGAGATCCAAACCTTGTCACCCGCAATATTGTTTCTGGTTATAATTCTACCTTCTATCACATGGGGCAATAACTGAGTAACAATTAGCCTAGTACCATTACATAAGCCATCAGCAACATCAATGTTACGGAGACAAATAATAGGAGCACCCACCTTGAGCTTCAAACAATGCCTAGGCAGTCCAGCCACTTTAACACTGTTCAAAAACTCTACAGGATATACTACAGTTTCTTCTATGTCAACATCGGATGGGATAATACTGTCTGAGCTAAGGTAAACCTTCTCTTCACCTGAAATTATATGTAAATCCTTTTCTTTAGTGACCTCTTATTGCTAGTGAAACATAAGAGTAAATGATTCAACATGTTAGGGTTGTAGGTTATATGATATTGGGCTTAAAAGACATCATATATATATTTATGAATACATCATCAAACTAAACATGACGTTTGGGCCCCCAAAACCTTTGGACGCTCGGAAGCGGTCTAACGACATAGTCAATAACGAAAACTATGTTGTGATAATATTTAGCAGGCTTTTTGTAAATCTAGCATGCTTTGGTGATACTATTTTCTTATTGGACCTGGTAGAGTCCAGCAACGAAAATTATCAACCAGATAAACCACAATTATGTTGTCTCATTCGATTGCTGGTTAGTTTTGGAACTGATACATTTCAAGGTGGTAATTATCTGTCAACTCGGTTATTAAGATAAGCGACAACAAAATTGTGTATGAAGATAGATGTCCAAATCAAATCACGTCACTGATATCGTGAGATTAGTACCCATATTTTATGATTTACACTTACCAATATATTATGACATAAGCAACCATATTTCGACCTAATAAATTTGCTATTACATAACAACAAAATTTTAAAACCAACAATTAGTAAAAAATATTATGTATCAGATAACTAAGATTAAGGACAAGTTCATGTATACTCAAAGATAGATCGAAAAACTTATTACATCTAATTTTTGAAACCAACAATTAATGAAGATAGATCAATTAATCAAATCCTTTATGTATAAGATCATACTGACTCGCACCTTTGGATGAGTAAACCTAAACGGATTATAAGAGATCAATATTTCAAGTAATACATAGAAGAAGAGATACTCAAACATTAAACCAAAATATATTTTATCCATTAAGAGTAGTTCATTAGAGGAACAATACTAAAGGAAAACTGGTTTTATAAACCAGAGAAAACGTTCCCGGACATTCATAGCCGATAAACCTTAAAACATAAAACATTAAAATAGATGTAGAGATGATTAAGTAGATTAGATTAACGCCACATATGTGTCTCTCCTAACTTGTCCCAGTTCAGACTCGGAACCTTCTTATCAGCAAGATTAGCCTCAGCAAGTACAAGTTCACTTTTAAGCTTCTCCTTCACCTCCATGATCGCGTCATCGTTGAAGAGATCTTCAATCACTTCTATCTTACCGTTAATGCGATAGACTTCGAGCTCTGCTTTGTGTCATTCATGCTCGGCATCATGCAACTCCATGTACATCTTGAGAAGTGCTCGATAATGTTTGA